AGGTCAGCTATTATCTGGTTTCTTTGATCCCGGCCAGGGGCCAAGGGATATCTGGTTTCTTTGATCCCGGCCAGGGGGCCAAGGGATGTGCCCTCAAATTCACCCCTCGCCTCATTCAAACTGACCAATGAGATCCCTGTAACCATGCATCTGTTTCTGTACCTTGCTTCTGCCTCCCCCAACCCCATATAATCTGCCCCAAAACCCAGCCCAGTGTGCTCAGTTCTCCATGTGACTGTAGCACCCGCAGGTCCTGTGTGAACAATAAAAATTGCCTCTTGCTCTTGCATCCAGTGGCTCGGACTTGGTTCTTGGGTGAGGGTCTCCAAGTGTTTAAGACACCCTCTGGGTGGTCTTTCAATCTTTACTGACAGTAGTAGTCATTGATAAGAAAGGAGCCTCATATTACTGTAATCTGTATGCTCTAACAGCAGACTCAGGAAGATGTAATTTACTAGCCCTTGCTCTAACCACGTTATTAATATTCTGAATTTACCCTTCACCTTAATTTCAACTAACACAAGATCATAGCCCAGGAAGCCGGGCGGTGGTGGCGCATGCCTTTAATCCCAGCACTTGGGAGGCAGAGGCAGGTGGATCTCTCTGAGTTCGAGGCCAGCCTGGTCTACAAGAGCTAGTTCCAAGACAGGCACCAAAAACTACAGAGAAACCCTGTCTCAAAAAAAAAAAAAAAAAGATCATAGCCCAGGAAATTAACTGTTTATACAGGGGAAAGGCTGAGTCGCTAAAACTAGCTTCAGAGAGAAAAATTCTTACCTGGGCACCCTGCTGGAGTAAAAAACTGGGTCCCCAGGAGAAATTATTTTTTCCTTTTAACTCAACCAGCTAGACTCTCATGCAAATCATGCCCAGAGGTCAGTATAGCTACCAATGCTGTGTTCCTAGCTGCCAGGGAACTTCACAGCCACGGCCCCTCTGAAACATAAGGTGTCTCCTTGCCAGATCCAATGGTTTTTGTGACTCTATGAAAATGCATGCTTGATACTATTGTTACCACCTATGGAACTGCTAACTTGTCTGTATGCCTATATAAATCCAAAGTTTTGTGGAGATTATCCCTTCTGCCTTCTGCTTCTTCTTTTCCCTTCTTTCATCCCCCCCCCCCAAGGAATAAAGAAACATGCAGGAAAAAAAACGTGCCTAAGTCAGTCAGTTTGTCCTACCCCTCGGATCCAGTTCGCAAGCCAGTTTTCCTCTGCCCTAGAAGTCCTGTTCTGAACCCCAAGGGAGTGCTGAGGCTGGTACTCAATAGCTCCCAACAGCCAGGCTTGCCGATGTGAACCCTCATTCCTTGACACTTTTCCCTGTCCCTTTGCAGGACAACCCCATGAGTCTTCCTTTTTATTTTTTTGTGACTAGGTCTCATGTAACCCAAGCTGGCTTCCAACTTGCTCTGTAACTGAGGATAACATTAAACTTTTAATCCCCCTGCCTTCACTTCCCAAGTACTGGGGTTATAGGTGTATGTCATACACTCACTTTTATGCCATGCTGGAAATTGAACCAGGTACTTGGTGCATGCTGGGCAAGCACTGTATTAAGTTACTTCCCAAGGCCTCACAGGTCTTCTTGCTACTCAAATCGGTCACGCTGCTGTGACTCAGAGAATTACATCTACTGTACAGCTGTCACGGACACCTTTCTCTCAGATCCTCACGGAGGCAGCTTTCTCCCCATTCAGTTCTTTAGTCAAACTCCTTCTCACAAGCTGGATATGGTGCCTCCCCCCCCCCCCGAAATCAAAGCAACCAGGAAGATGAGACAAGAGGATTGACAATTTTGAGGCCATCTAGGGTTACATAGTAAATTCTAGGTGATCCTGGGCTACAGAGCAAGGTAGTCTCAAAAACAAATAGTTATGTTTGGTAGTACTCACCTGCACTTCCTGCGAGTGCTCATCTGTGCTTCCTGCAATCACCTGCACTTCCTGCAAGTATACTCATTTGCACTTCAGAGGTAGAGGCAAGAGGATGAGGTCTTCCTCAGCTATACCTACCTTAAGTTCACGGCCAGCCTGAGTTACAAAAGACCCTAATCTAAACCAAAACCAAAACCAGGGGCCACAGAAATGACTCAGCTGCTTACTGCTAAGCCTGATGGCCTAAGTTTGACTCTCAGAACCTTCATGGTTGAAGGAGAGATCCAACTCCTGCAACTTGTCCTGACATTCATGTATAAACTATATATAGCTCAAATTTTTGCACATACACCCTCTAAAATAAATAAACGAATGTAAAAATAAACAAAGAAGCAACATCGTTCAGAGGCTTTTCAACATCAAGCAGCCTCCCCCAGCCCTGCTCTCTATCCTGTCCTCAACCTGTAATTATTTTGTTGCTACTACTATTATGGTTACTCATCTGTCTTCTGAATGGGACATATGACTTCTGTATGAAGCAGGGATCTGCCACGTGCTCACTGTAGTGGTATCACATGACCTACATCAGTGCCCAAGACATTACAGGTGTTAAATAATTGTCCACCGGATGAATTCAATGAATAAGTGAATGAACTAACATCATGGGAAGGCCAGGTGGCACTGCACATACCTGTAATTCTGTAATCCCAGTACTTGGGAGGTGGAGGTAAGAGAATCAGGAATCAGACTGGAGTACAGGAGACGAGAGAGAGAGAGAGAGAGAGAGAGAGAGAGAGAGAGAGAGAGAGAG